AGGGAGGGAGGGAGGGAGGGAGGGAGGGAGGGAGGGATGGGGGTATTTGAAACAAAGTGTTTTGAGGGAAAATGTATCATCATAGTGTTATTTGGGATGATAAAGCTAAGTCTCTCATCTAGTTAGCCTTCTGGAAGACACCGGAATGGCTTTGGGCCATTCTTTCTCTCACCATGACCTACATCCTAGAAGAGCTATCCATTCTACCTTGAGCTGCTGAATAAAAGGCTAAATATTAAATAAACATACATAAATAATCAGTCCCTCCTGGACGCATTGGAGGTGTTTCTTTGGGATCAGTGTCTGAAGAATTTAAAGGAAGTATGATATTTCAGATAGGTGGCCAAGCATCATTGGAGACATGCTTTATCTGTTCATATCTGAACGAGACCTGCAAAAACAAGCAGTATGCATATTACTAGCCTCCGTGTGCAATCACATTCTAAGCTGAAAGAGTTAAACTTGCATCAACCAAAGTGACTCACTAAGCTGATTAAAGTAATTATAAAGATTATGATCAAGACAAATGGGAAATGTCTGAGTATACTGGTAAGCTTGGTAGGGGAGAAAATGGGTCACATGATAAGATGGCAAACCACTATAGGGCAAATGTTTAAAGAAGCAGCAATATGTTTTAGGAACAATGAAAAGCTGAGGTAATATTCATAGGGGAAGAATTAATTTCCTGAAGAAAAAAGAATAATATAATAATAAATTTATAATTATAAAAAGACATAGTAAATGAATATATTGTACTATTCTGTTTATATTTTGCTGGTTAGACAAGCCATACATTACAAAATGTAGAAATAGGCAATATTCAGAAGTTCTCTTTTACATTTTATCTGTGGGAAAACCATTTGTTTTTTAGTTTTATCCACTATTTTATATTTGTTCTTAAAAGATCACAGCATATTGTGTTTGGTTGTCTCTTTGGCTGTTGTGGGCATATATAGATAGTATTATCTGCAAAATACCTGCCAAAGAATATTTCTATGCATAATGGAGCCTGCAATAATGGTCGTAGGTCATGACTGCCATTAAGTGGCTTACCATGTGATCCCATTGATCCTGAGGCCTTAACAATGCCACAGTTGTTAAGGTAAGCCATTGTTTGCTATGTGACAATTTTTGCAGGAAACTGGAAGTAAATGTCCGGTTTCCAGTAAATTTGTTGTAAATTGCAATCACATCACTGCGGGCCCTACAAACAGCCATAAATATAAAGGCACATGACTTCAAGAGAAGCCCAAACATTGGAACTTTGAAACTGGCTCATAAGTCCCATTTTTAGAGCCCTGGTGACTACAAATAATTGCTAAATTTATGTATGTATGTATGTATGTATGTATGTATGTATGTATGTATGTATTTATGTATATTCTTAAGAATGCTAAAAACGAAAAGGTGATTCCTGGGTAGACTTATGTTTAACTAGCAAAAATGCAAGAACACTGGGAAATATAAAACTATAAAAAGTTTTAATAAGTTAAAATACCAAGCTTTCGCCGGCAACTGCCAGCATCATCAGGGTAGCTTCCAGTCGATGGGAGAGGCTATGGATATGGCGTTCTTTGTGCCCAGCTCCTGGACCTCGTTACAGGTCCCAGCCAATCCACTTGCACTCTGATCGTAGTTTCCGTGTTGCTGATTGTTATTTTCTTGCTTTCCTTGTTTGTATCTATGTCCCCACCCCCCTCCTCATGTGGCATGGATTGGGGGAGCCTGTACATTTTCGCTGTTTGTTTTCCTCATCCTCCTTCCTTATACTCCCCCTCCTCGTTCTCCTCCCATCTTCCCTCTTTCCATAGTCCTTTTTCACAGTTGCCACCTCATTGCTTTCTCCTGCGTCACAAGATTTCATTACAGTTATCTTATCGTAACCCCCGTTCTCCAATGTTGCCCCACTAACTTTCATTTTCTTATCAATGGGAACGTTTCCAACGGCATTGCTAGGGCTCGTAATATCTTTAGGTTGACTGCCATTCTCCCCTCCACATAGAGTCCTTGGTATGGTGGTCGTCCCCTCTATCGTCTTCAGGGGGAGGAAAGGGGGTGGGTTTTCCAATTCTCGGTTTCTCACTCCTTGCATGTTTCCAGGGTGGGTCACCCCTCTTAGGTGTTTCCTGGAGTGTGCAGAGGCTATAGCGTTGTGAATGATCGCCTCATCGCCCTCCCATGGCTTACTCACATTACCAAAGTGAAACCACGTTGTTGAAATAATATCGTGGGTGGGATTAATCGCGGAATCGCTGATGGGGGTGGGGGCGATGTTACAGCCCTTCCATTCACGACCACTCCACATCTGGGTGTTGGTACGGGACCGCGTCATTACCCAATTGCTCATACGGCACGGAGAGACCTCAGACCCATCAGCAGTAGGCTCACAGCTGTTGATACGTTTTTCCACTCGTTGGGGGTCAGCACATGCCTCCACACTCAGAGGGTTGCTCAGTTGCAGGCTATTCCCTATCTGGGCACTTTCGGGGCTCTTTTTCTCCACCAGCTCTCCTCCCAGAAGGCACGTTGTGGTATTAAATCATTTCTTTCTAGGGGACTGATTACTCCTGGCCCATGCTCTTAACATTATGTGTACAGGACATAAGTCTATATGCCAGTTGATGGACTATCGTTAGAGAGCCAAGCTTCCTTAAGGAGCCGGCCCCCCTTCGTGTTGTCATTAGCCATCACCTGGACGTTGTCGAAGTTGAACCTATGTCCTGACTCCAGCATATGTGCCCCGATCTGGGAGTATTGTTCGCCTCTCCTTGCAGCCAGCTTGTGCTCATGGATCCTGGTTCTAACCCGTTTGGACGTCTCTCCCATGTAATTCGTGGGGCAATCTTTACAATTAATCTTATAAATGATGCCTGAGCTCTCTCTGATGGGAAGTGGATCCTTTGGTCTCATCACCTTAGATTGTAACATCTGGTCCTTAAGGTGTGCAGACACAATGGATATCCTATGCAATTCATCAGGCACCATAGCCTACCACTTAGACCCCCTGTTAGGTCTCAAATGGAGGAGTCATCACCACAGATTGCCCGGGTTACTCTCCCTTATATTAGTAATGTCTCAGAAGCCACAGCTAGGTTATTGGCATCCTACAACTTGAGGGTGGCACATAACCCGAACCAGACGTTACGATCTAAGGTGATGAGACCAAAGGATCCACTTCCCATCACAGAGAAGTCAGGCATCATTTATAAGATTAATTGTAACAATTGCCCCACAAATTAGTGGGAGAGACGTCCAAATGGGTTAGAACCAGGATCCACGAGCACAAGCTGGCTGTAAGGAGAGGCGAACAATACTCGCAGATCGGGGCACATATGCTGGAGTCAGGACATAGGTTCGACTTCGACAACGTCCAGATGATGGCTAATGACAACACGAAGGGGGGCCGGATCCTTAAGGAAGCTTGGCTCTCTAACGATGAGTCCATCAACCGGCATATAGACTTATGTCCTGCGCACATAACGTTAAGAGCAGGAGTAATCAGTCCCCCAGAAAGCAATGATTTAATACCACAACATGCCTTCTGGGAGGAGGGTTGGTGGAGAAAAAGATCCCCGAAAGTGCCCAGATAGGGAACAGTCTGCAACTGAGCAACCCTCCGAGTGTGGAGGCATGTGCTGACCCCTAACGAGTGGAAAAACGTATCAACAGCTGTGAGCCTACTGCCGATGGGTCTGAGGTCTCTCCGTGCCATATGAGCAATTGGGTAATGACGCGGTTCCGTACCAACACCCGGATGCGGAGTGGTCGTGAATGGAAGGGCTGTAACATCGCCCCCACCCCCATCAGCGATTCCGCGATTAATCCCACCCACGATATATTTCAACAGCGTGCTTTCGCTTTGGTAATGTGAGTGAGCCATGGGAGGGTGATGAGGTAATCATTCACACGCTTAGCCTCCGCACGCTCCAGGAAACACCTAAGAGGGGTGACCCACCCTGGAAACATGCAAGGAGTGAGAACCGAGAATTGGAAAACCCACCCCCTTTCCTCCCCCTGAAGACGATAGAGGGGACGACCACCATACCAAGGACTCTATGTGGAGGGGAGAGCGGCAGTCAACCTAAAGATGTTACGAGCCCTAGCAATGCCATTGGAAACGCTCCCATTGATAAGAAAATGAAAGTTAGTGGGGCAACATTGGAGAACGGGGGTTACGATAAGATAACTGTAATGAAATCTTGTGACACAGGAGAAAGCAATGAGGTGGCAACTGTGAAAAAGGACTATGGAAAGAGGGAAGATGGGAGGAGAACGAGGAGGGGGAGTATCAGGAAGGAGGATGAGGAAAACAAACAGCGAAAACGTACAGGCTCCCCCAATCCATGCCACATGAGGAGGGGGGTGGGGACATAGATACAAACAAGGAAAGCAAGAAAATAACAATCAGCAACACGGAAACTACGATCAGAGTGCAAGTGGATTGGCTGGGACCTGTAACGAGGTCCAGGAGCCGGGCGCAAAGAACGCCATATCCATAAACAGCCTCTCTCATCGACTGGAAGCTACCCTGACGATGGTGGCAGTTGCCGGCGAAAGCTTGGTATTTTAACTTATTAAAACTTTTTATAGTTTTATATTTCCTGGTGTTCTTGCATTTTTGCTAGTTAACATATACAAACAACTTTGGGCCATCTTTACTTTGATCTTTTTATATAGAATAACAGCTTCTTGCCATCATGCATCTCTTTACTCATACATGAACAAATGCTTGCCTTTATATTTATTTTATTAATGTTTTGCATATATCTTTCTCGAACATTTTAGCATTGCTACTGTCTTTCTACTGTTGATATTCTGGCTAGCCTGCTGTCAGATCATTAATCTGCTTGAGAATATATTGGCCATTAAAAATACCATCTTCTACAACTATGTTGTCTTTCCACAATGCTACCACTCTCATCATTAAATCATTCTTAATCTGTATTTTCCCCTCTCCCCACTAATCCACCATTGTTTGTTCCTCATTGCCTTGCCTGCAGGGTTTTTGTTCCTATCCAAAAGCTGGAGCTGAGCCCCAGGCATGAACAGGCCAAGCAGCTGCTACAAAGAGCACGTATGAAGGCCAGGACAAACCCACTCCGAGCTAGCCATAACATCCTACTTACTGCCCCCCCAGAAAAGAGGTAAGTGTGGTCATTTTCATTTGGTAGCCTTGAAGTTCTGGACTGGATTGACATGAAAAGGAAGAAGCTAGTCAAGCCTGTGTGAGTTATTTTTCCAGTATATGCCATTTGGTTCTAGTTGCTTTCCAGCCTCTTTGTTCTTGACATCTGTAACCATTTCAAGTTTTCATCTTACAAATGAAATGCTGTACAAGAATAAAAAAGATAGATTAAAGAAATGTATGTGTGTTGATTCAGAGCTCAAAAATTATGTACCTGAAAGAAACAGTGAAAGTAAACATATAACATTTGATTCAAATTTTGCTACAGAATAGAGTGAGATTCAAATGAAATTATTTGTCATGTGGCTTGATGTCCTTTGCAATATTATTTAATGATGAGGATGCATAAGACTTAAATGTTTTCTGACATCACAGAAGTTTTATAAAATTCAGTTTTTCAAAAATAGTGGACAGTTTAAACTTTATAAAAATTGCTATTTGTATTGTGAACCACATGCTTTAGTGCTTCAATTTTCTTTCTGCACAAACCTTCTCATGCACGAAGTGCATCAACATTTATTTTAAACCCAAATAAAACAAATATTTATTTGCTAATAGTTATATCTCATTCAGTTCCAGAGACTCTGGGCAGCTATCATCCAAGTAAACTCATTAAAATAATCATGGTGACATAATTACTGCAATAATATAAAGATAAGAAATCGGCAAAAACAAATATTAGAGATAATCCTTGTCGCATATTTTAACAACTCCAAATACTAATACTTAAAAGCATCTACAGAAGGGGGAGGCCATATGGATTTCAGGTGATGGTATATTTTACAACAGACATGTCAAACCCGCGACGTCATGTGACATCGCACAATGTATCGGGACGGTTTTGCCATTGCCGGCAATGGGGTGGGTGCGGCTCCCAGATGACGCGTCTGGCCTGTGGGGCGGCAGTTTGACACCCCTGTTCTACAATGACAAAGCAGCTAGTGAAAAAACTGGTTTCCATGTTTTTTTCCCTTTTCCCCTTCTTTAAAAAATGACAGAACACTTCAATTCCTGGAAAAAATATTTTGGAGCCCAGCTAATTGTGAAAAACAAATTAATATATAGCTGTAAAATACACTTCTTTAAATGCATTCACAAGCTTTCATCACTGTAACATATATTCTACCAGAGTCTGATATTTGTTTAGTTTTGCCTATAAAAGTAAATAGATCTGAATTTGGTTTGCAGCTGAATGTGAGCCCTACCTGAGACTATTTTTTGTCCTCAGATATTACCTGATTATGTCTTATATTATTTCCAAGCAATTTAAACTGTTTGTTTTATTACTTTCCACAGCATATCCCTGCCATTTTCCAGTCCTATGTTATTCTTCATTTAGAAGTATACATTCATCTTGCTGATTTGTTACACAGTATCAAGACCAGTTTTAGATTGCGAACAATGCTCCTGACCCAATCAGTTATTTGAGTCAGCAGTTTCCCACGTTATTAGGACTGTAACAAAATGCTAGATCTCTTGTTGATCTGATGACTAGATGTATATTTTTTGTTTTATTTTTGCTCACTGGCAAAATAAGTTTAGGTAGTGAAAACCTGAGCAATGTTGGAAAGCTTGGTTCTTCATTAGGCTGCAATGGGTGGCCATTAAGACAAACAGTGCCTTCTGCTAAAGGTTTATAGATAGATGAAAAGAGTAGCAAAGTGGATAATTTCACCAAGTAATAAAAAATAATCCTTTTTTGTTCATCAGGGATACCTGTAGGTCCTCTGTTGCAGATGCAAAAAATTTTGTTTTGAAGGATGAAAATTTACACACTAGTGGGAACCAGAGTGATTCATCTAGTGGTGAGTCCAGCTATGGGCAGCAGAGGAAGCAAGGGCTATTGTCTCGAGTGCGTTTTGAGGATGAATCTGCAAGGGACGCTGAAGTTCGCTATTTGGAACGTCTGCAGCAACGTCAGAAACGGCCCTTAGATTCAGTTCTGTTATCTCTTGGCCAGGGCCCACTGCTCTCCAAACCAGATCTTGCTGGCTATATAAATGGTGACCTCCAGCGTAAAGAGAGTAGCATCAAGAAATCTAGCTGGGAACATCAAAGCATGGGACAGGGAGCAAAAATGCGTACTCACCAGAGCAATGGAGGATGTTTTGAAAAAGTCAATAAAGAAAGGAAGTGTAGTGCCTGTGGGTCTTATATCAACAATTCAGCAGACACTAGAATCAACCAAAATGGGAATGGCAAATATGAAATTGCCAATGTCCTTCCTGGAGGCAGTGATACTGTTCATACTAACGGAAACAAAGAGCTTGGTGCTTCCCAGGAGAACTCACGGACAAAGCCTCTAGGTCCCAAAAGGACTCCATTGTGGATCCTTCCTTCTCGGCAGCGTGTTTTTGCAGAATCCATCAGGGAGACGTATATTGGTGAAATTACTAGTGCTGAAGATGTGGACTCAGCTTTAGGTAGCACCACTGACACATCAGACAGCTACAGGACAGACAGTGAAGAAGCTGGCATCAGCAGTCAGCAATTTGTAATCAAAAATTGTCATGGTGTCCCTAGGCCATCGTGTTCTTCAGAGAAGAAAGCCAACAGTGTTAACAGGGACAGGGAATGGGGAAATGGCAGCTGCAAAAATAATAAAGAAATTATTTGGGATAACGTTCCTAATGTAAGCAGATTGGAAATTGGGTCAGGTGCTGACGAAGCACAAATTTGTAGCTTGCAGGGAGGCTCTGAGGTAAAAGATCAGGAGACTCAAACAGCCATTTCAAGAAGCAACCAGCTAATGAATCTGTGTCAAATGGAGAAAGAAGACAAAGACAAAGCACAAACAAAGGTACATGGTGCCCAGTTGAGAGAATCTGTATCTTCCATCTATTCTCAGCAGTTGCTTTTTCAAGGTGGTATAAAAATTCCTATGAACAGACCAGTCATTAATTTATGCCAAACCAAGCAACATACAAAACAGATGGCCACTACCAACAATTTAACAAATCTAATACCAACACCCCCTGCTACTGGAAAAGTCCACTCCTCCCCAATGTCTTACAGGAGAGCTGTTTTAACAGGCAGCCACAAATCGATCAAACAGGACCCTGGACATATAAATAACGAACTGTCAGTTTCAGCTGCCTCTCCTGGTTTCCAGGATGTGGGTGTATCTGGGCTAGAGGAGCATAATGGCCAGCAGAATCCAGGGATATTCTCCGAACATTTGGCTTTGTCCTCCAATAATCACAATAACATATCTACCAAGTCAGAGCCCAAAACCATAATAACTGGCAGAGATGAGCAACTTCAGGAGAGTGAGAAGATGGGAAAAAATCAAGGTAAGAGATCATGTTGACTTGGCTGTAAAAAAGGGAATCTCTCCAACAAGGACATTAAAAATGTGTGCTCAAATTATTGTTTTATTGAAAGATACCTATTTGGTCTGAAAGTGAGTATTTGGGATATTTCCACAAATTTGAATAGGACGAAATAGCGAGAGTATATAAGAGGTAAGCAACAGTGAGAAAACGAAGTTAGTAAAACATATTTAGAGTAGTTGGAAGAATATTTAAAAGAATGTAAAGCCCATATCTCATTAGCATCTACTTTCCAAAGTAGATAAACAAAATCTTAAGAATGCCCCAAAGCAAGACATAAGGGCCATAACTTTCTTTTTCTGTTGATTTCCAAGATGCTGTGGCATGCAGCTGGATTCTGAAGATATTAACAATAGGTAGCCATCGATAGTCTTCTCCATTAATTTGTGTAATTTGCTGCTAATTCTTGTTGTAACGTACCCTGTTTTGTAATTATGCACTACATAGACTATGCAAGTACATTAAACAATGCAGTTTTATTGAGTATTTTGATGGTTTCCCAATTTTATTATTACAATCAAAATGATTAGAAAGGTAATTATTCATCATTCATCAAAGAATAAGAGCTAAAATACATATTGCACATCTGTCAGACTATGGAAGATAATTAAATTTTCAGAGTTCAATATCCAAAGAGGTAGTTAGCAGCATCAGTTCGATGTAGCAAAAAGAAAGAATATGATAGGTCCTTAAAGATTAACTGGTTATTAATCTAATAAAATGATTATCTTTTTATGGATTATAAATGCAAATAGTAGTAATGGTATTTTTATTTAGTAGGCACTTAAGCATAGTATAAAGAAGGAAATAATTTGTAATACTTTATAAACCAATGTAAACAATAAAACAATATTATAATCAATTTAAAATATCAAATCCCAACACTATCATACTTTAATTAACATCATCTACTGATATTGAAAAGTTCTTTCAATTGTGTAAAGGTCCTGAAAAAAGAAGCATTTTAAAGTATTTTTTAGATCCTAAGTGTAGTTCAAGGGGGAATAACTTCCAAATGGGAGGAGCTAGATGGGAAAAAGCTCAGAAACATGAGATGGCTGTTCTAAGGCAGAAAAGAACTGGACAGCGCTGATTCTATGTGTGAACTGAATACACAGAACCATGATTTCATATTAGGTTAATCAAGAATTGGATGTTCTTGTCAACACAAGCAATTTAAACTGATAATGTTCCTGGTAAATAACTGATGAAAAAAAAATAGGGGTGATTTAAAAGAGGTCCATAAACTACACAGACCGTTCTAGACCCAACCAGAGGGATGGAGCAATTTTACGAATAGCTATCAAAAAGCTACTTCAGTATTCTTAGCCTTTTCAGTAGTAAGAAATAAATGAATTCAGAAGTTGTACATAAAAAAAAAACCTTGTAGTTTTATCAACTTTAAGTAAGTTTCTCATTCCCAATTATTTTCCCACAGAAGATGCCTACAATTGACAATTCTCAATTTTTTAAAAAAAAGAGGAAAAGGAAAAGAATGTTAATAGGGAAGAAAAACAATAGTTTGTTTGTAAATCTCATTTAAGGCTGGAGGAACATGTTCAGAAAATCTTTATATAAAGGGGTACCTAGAAAGGAACCACGATGAACACTGTCAAATGAAGGAATGGTTGACAGCAAAGATTCTCCTACTTAAATGAAAATGTATGATGGAAAATGTAAGACATGAATCATTGAGAAACTGCAAATCATTGATAAGCTAAGTCAGTCCCAATCCAGTGGAAAGATCTGCACAATGCTTTGATTGAAATCGGTTAGTACAATTATTTGCTGCAGGGATAATCTTAGGCAAAAATAAAAGTGAAGATGCTGGCCAAAAATAAATAAATAAATAAATAAATATTCTCTTCTCTTCATCTTCTCTTATCTTTCCTCAAAATTAAAAATACAAATATTCAAATACAGGTAGTTCTCAACTTATGACTATTCGTTCAGTGACCATTAAAAATTATGACAGCATTGAACAAAGACTCTTCTTTGTTCAATGCTGTCATAATTTTTAATGGTCACTGAACGAATAGTCATAAGTTGAGAACTACCTGTATTTGAATATTTGTATTTTTAATTTTGAGGAAAGATAAGAGAAGATGAAGAGAAGAGAATATTTATTTATGACCCCTGCCCGACGTTACAGCCATTGCAATTCTCCTGCAGCCATGTGATCAACATTTGGGTGCTTGGCAGCACGCTGGCTCTTACAACTGGATGGGTGCTTCAACTCTTCCCTACCGATCTCTACCCCACTTCTCAGCTGCCCACCTGGCCCACTAGCACATGGAAAGTTGCTGATGCCCTGGAGGTCTTAGCCTGCCTACCTCTCTCTATCCCACCACATTTGGAAGGCCCTGGCCTTCTCCAAGCCTTTCTACCCTTCAGAAACAATGCCTTCCCTAGCTTTCCAGCCAGAAAATGTTTCTGAAGGGTAGAAAGCATAGCACACAGAGGAGAGGGGGACTCCTGGAGCGGGGCAGAGAAAGGAAGCCTGGATTCTGAAGGTCTGAGCTTCCTTTCTCCAGACCAGTATAGCGGTTCCTTTCTGCACACAGAGGGAAGGGGAAGGGCCTGTGGTGGGTTGGAGAAACAATGTTTGGCTCACAAAGATCTAACTTTCTAGGTTCCCTTCTGTGCTTAGAGGGGAGGGAAACTTCAGCACTGGACTGGAGAAACAAAACTTAGATCACAAAGATCTGAGCTCCTTTTCTACAGCCCAGTGCAGGAATTCTCTTCTGTGCATGGAGGGGACTTGCTCCACCCACTTAATGACTGCAACTGAAAGAGCCAGGATTGTGATTGTTGAGTGAAGCTCTCATCTGGGCATCTCACTTAACAACCACAATGATTAGAACCAAAATTCCAGGTCATAAATTAAGATTACCTGTATTTGCTTCCCTCATCTACATTCAATTAACATGTTTTAGTTCAATCCATGTTTAATTTATCAGTGTTACGATTGTTTGCTGCTCAGTGTCACCAGTTTGAGACGGGTGACTGTAGAAACTGAATCAATCAATAAATCATCCTGCTATTTTTGCTTATTCCATTTGTAGGAGGTTGAAATTTTGCAAAGCAAAACCTTTTCTACTTGAGTGTAGAAACTGTACATATTTTCAAAATTAGATGATCTAAATTCTAAATCAAGAAAAGAATTTTTTTTTCCCCCAGAACACCAGCCCCCAGGATACCATATGGGGCCACACAAATGGTAATGGAACTTTCCCCATTCTTCTCCTTATGCTAAACAGATGCGAAACATGATCTCATTTTTTTAGACATCAATGAAATTTTATATACTAATATTTTCTATATAATATTTTACACTTGCCAAACTGTAAAATTAATTGTCCAATTTTCTTCAGTCATACATTTCTTGCATTTATGCATCCCTCAGTCTGCAAACTTGAATCAGGATGGACTTACTTATTTCCCAACCTTTTCAGAGAATTTTAAAAAGAAACTTCAGATGAAAACATTTTAATTGGATTTTTTTGTCAACTAATTTTTCTTCAGGCTTATTTACTCCTCTATTCCATGGAAGAGACTGCTTAGAATTAGCTGCCAGAAATTTCTCTATATGCTTGTAGGTTGTTTATGTTATCATTCTGAAAGCCACAACTGTTATATATGTTGTGATGATACTGGTGGTTATGTAGTTTGCATAAGTTTTATAAGCAGGAGAGTTGTTAAATTTTTGTAATATCCTAGTTAAGGTGCTATCTTCAGTTATGAAAACTAGCATTATGTCTTAAAGAAATCTTGATATGGAAGATAGATGAAAATTAAGAATATGATATAATAAAATGACTTTTACCAGTAGAAGAGAATATTTATAGCCCAGGGTTGAACTGTGACGTCCTTAGTGCTCTCTGACCTTGGTTGTTTTCTTGCAGATGTTTCATTACCAAACTAGGTAACATCATCAGTGTGACTTCTTTTACTTCTTCTGGCCTTCTGTATAACAAGTCCATTTTAAACTTGTTTCTAGAGCAATCTGGAAATCAAAAAGCCAGAAAGTTTTTGTGACAATTTAATGCCATGCCTATATTATTGCCAAATTGGATTAATTATTACTACATCTCTAAAGAATGTAGAGAATTCAGAAGGATCTAATGAAATTCTCAGTATCTTCAAAGAACCTCTGTTTCTTAGCATTTTATGTTGGGGGAAAGAGGTACAGTATGTGTAAATGTAAGATCTCTCCCTAGATTTTCCAATTTGTATCATGCCACTGTACAAGGTTGGCATCTGATATATGTTAAGAACATTTTCTTTGATAAAAGGATGTATATCAGACATTATTTTATGTGCTAAGCCACAATTACTTGTTATGTCCTGTCATACTAGCTGAAGGTGGAAGTCCACCCCAAAGGTGTTCTAAGAACAGCAATTGGACGTATCTGTATCGTTGCAGTAGGTCCATCATCCTCAACATGTGGTGTTCCCTCTGTTGCTCCCAATGTCATCAGTTCCACTGCTATTAATATCTCCCTGACAACTGAAGAGACCAACTTCACAATCTCCACTCAGTCAATCAGTAGAGAAGCTCCAGTAGCAACTATGCCGAAGATAAAACCTGGACAAGTAAATATTATTCAATGGTGAGTAGAAATATATTGTTAGAAAGGTTAAATGGGATCTCATAGAACAGGGCTGTTTGTAAGATCAAATGTCATTTTTCTAAAACTAAAACAAATTAATACATTTCCAAATTAATCCCTCTTTACATGTTGGAATTTCTCAGCCAGCATGGTCAAATGATCTGCTACTGAGAGATCCTCCCCATCAGCCTTCCTAACTTGATTTTCTCTAGGTTAACAGAACTTCATCTCCCACAAGTCTGGCAAGTGAGGGGTTATTACTGCCACTTAATAATCCGTTCTGATGAAGGTTAGCCCAAACTGGTTTTTGATGACCAAGACACAGTTTAAGCAAAACTGTTTTTGCTTTGTTCCTACCACAAGCTCTTTCTTTACGATGGCATATACTAAAGAAGAGCCAGATTGTTGTAGTGGTTAAGGCACCAGGCTAGAAACCAAGAGACTGGTTTAGTTCTACTCCTACCTTAGACACAAAGCTGTCTGGGTGATTATAGGTGAATCAATCTCAGCCCTAGGAAGAAAACAATGGCAAACCACTTCTGAAAAACCTTGCTAAGAAAACTGGAGGGATTTCTCCAGGCAGTCTTCAAGAATCAGACACAATTAAACAGAGGAAAAATATAAGAAACATACTAAAGAAAATAAACAGCAGCTAGTTAATTTACAGCTCCTCATCTCATCCTCATATCTCCCTCCCTCCCTTTTATAAAGGAAAGGCCTCCAGAGTACCAACTTGTTGGAAGTGGAAAAGGTTGTCAGAAAGAAAGTAATTCTATTTGGTGTGGCTAGCAAGCTTAACCAAATGCTTTTTAATTTGTGTTTTCCCAGTTTTTATCCTTGGAACAATTTTGCAAGGTAGAGTTAGGATTTGAGGTACTTCTCCAAGACTACATAGCATCTGAACATTATTTGTGAAAGATATACTTTCCATGTAGGATACACATTTCCTTCAAAAGGAACCTGGACATTTTCAGTTAATTGATAGAGTGGATTGGTTGAACCTCCCTATGTCTTGCTATACTGTCTCATATGGTGGGAGGTGCTCGTAGGAGGGATGAACAAATAATGCTGGGAATGTATGCCAAGAATAATTACTCCCATCAGGGTCATCCAAGGCTTTTAAACCACTACAGTTAAAGCAAACAGGGACCTATATTGGCAGCAGCAAAACATGAAGAAGATGAATAGGCAGATGACAGCTTTAGTGACAGTAGCAAAGGCATTGTTACACACTGCACATGATAAGGCAATGGTAAATAACTCCTGTAATTTTTTCAATAAAACCGCATGGATAGACAATATAAAGTGACTCGTAATATAGTGCCAGATGGTGGCCCTTTGGATTGTTCTTGAGCAGGGCTTTTCAACCTTTTCACCCATTGTACCACTTTTAGGATATGGCAATATCTGAGTACCACCAGTCGCCTAGTAAGGTGTCAAAAACATGATAACCCCCCCCCCCAAAAAAGGAAAAAAGTGATAAAGTACAGGTAGTCCTCGACTTACAACAGTTCACTTAGTGACTGTTCGAAGTTACAATGGCATTGAAAAAAGTGCCTCCCAAGCCACAGCCGAGCAAGACACCTGCCTGCCCACCCAGCGGCACTCTTCCTCCTGTCCGAGGTTTTCATTGTTGTGAGCATTTCTGTTGAGGATTGGCAGCGCAGGTGGGTGGGGGATATTTGGTTTTTATTCCCCCTATCTGCTGGGTAGTTGCAGCAGGTTTTGGTCACTTCACATGACCCTGGGACACTATGACCGTCATAAATATGAATCAGTTGCCAAGCATCTGAATGTAAATCACAAGACCCTGGAGATGCTGCAACATTCCAGCTGATTGGCGCTTCTTCTGGGCTCAGCAGAAGCATCAGGATCAGCACCAAGCTCCAGTTGGAGCCTGGCGCTGATCCTGGTGCTTCCACTGAGCCCTGACAGGCCTGAAGCTCCAGCCATCTCTCACTCAGGCTTGTGCAGTGCTGCCACCGGTTCAGCTCATTCCCCTCCCCTGCTACTACTTTTCTAAGATGGTCACGTACCACCTGCCAGGTGCCAATGTACCACAGATGGTACCTGTACCACTGGTTGAAAAGCCCTGTTCTTGAGGATCTTTCGGAGTGTTAATAGTGTAGTCATGTTAAATATTTTCTGATAACTTGGTGCTGATATTGTTATGCAGGAAAAGCTCAATCTGAGATCAACAGATTATGCAAGCTTTCTTACTTGAAGTTGGACACTAGAATGTTAGTACTAGTTGGAAATAGTAAAGAGGAAAATGTAGTTGTACTGGCTTAAGAAATGGGTAAGTGGGAGAATGATTCGTCTGTTTCTTCCAATCTAATTATTTCTGAATTACTACACAGTGTTTAAATAACCAAAATTATATCTACGTACCTGGACATCACAGTTAAATAAATCAATTTTACATTAATCGATTAAAATGACCAGGCTCAATTTATCGTATTTTCAACACATTATGCAAAGAGCTTCTCTGATGAAGTCTGTGGTAGGGAGAAAAGTTGAAAGAAAGGGAAGAGAGATCAGCAACAAGATAGATGGAGTCATTTACAGGGGTGATGGGTGCGTCATTGAAGGGCTCTGTTGGGGAAACATTATCCTGGAGAAGGACTATTTATGTGTTCACTAAGAGTGAACCTCAAGTTCACATCCAGATTCAGCCATAGTTTCATTCCATACAGCATTAAGCTTGTGAACTCTCAAACTTCCTCCTTCCATTATATATTCAAGCTGGACCGTATTTAATATTTATTTGCTATGTATATGTAGGGGTGCGGATCTATACATACGTTGTACATAGTATGTTTATGTGTTGTGTCATGTATGTGTTTCACTTTGAGAGCGGGAAACTAAATTTCATTTTTGATGCGTGCTGTTGTGCCCACAGTAAAAAAATGACAATAAAGGTTATCTTATCTTATCTTATCTTATCTTATCTTATCTTATCTTATCTTATCTTATCTTATCTTACTGTACCATACTTTACCTTACCTTACCTTACCTCTTATCTACAGCAGTGGTTCTTAACCTGGGCGATGTTGCCCCCCAGGGGGCGATTTCATTTTTCAGGGGGGGCAATGGAACAAAAAGGGGCAACACGGGGGCGAAGGAACGAAAAGGGGGCAATATGGGGGCGATAGAGTGAGAAGTTTTGGGGACACTTTTGAGACTTTTTTGTACAGTGAATACACATCGCTTATCTTCATGTGCGTTGCACAGCAGCCTCTACCCATACAGTGGCATGCCATTGGCCAGAATATGGGTGATATGGGAAAAAGACTGGAAATAAATTATTTGCATCGATATGTCCTGATGACAATTTGAAAGAAAACAAAAAAAGGGTTTGCATAAATTGAAAAATTATTTCCTATGTTGTGATTGAGAGGTTATGTTGGGGAGGGGGGCGATGACAACTTCCTCATTGGCTCAAGGGGGCGATTCGTTCAAAAAGGTTAAGAACCACTGATCTACAGTATGTTCATAAGGCTCCCGGGTTCTGTCCTGTAATTCCTTGTGCTGGTTTTAACAGAACAGAATAACAGAGTTGGAAGGGACCTTGGAGGTCTTCTAGTCCAACCCCCTGCACAAGCAGAATACCCTACCATTCTGGACAAATGGCTGTCCAATCTCTTCTTAGGACCCTTTTTCTCCCAGGGAATGTAGCAGTACAGACTGAATCGCACTTTCAGTTTGTTTGTTAGCAACAAATGCTTCCCGCTTTCAGCTCTCTGTGATACAATCTTTCCTCTGGTGAACTCCACCGAGGTCTGCTGCAGTTCTCCCCATGGGTACTTTCTGTTTTTTGGGGTTTGGCTTTTCACTCTCACAGCAGGCAAGTACTGCCTTGTTGGTGCTGCCAGCAGGCTTAGAGCCCCAGTTGCCTTCCCTGCTGTTCCCCCCCCCCCCGCCTCTTAGCTCTGAAATCTGCTTTGACCTACTTCTCCCTTCCTGCCCAAATCCTCAGAAAGTTCTTGTTATGGCTAGATATCTCAGTTGACAGAAATTAAGCCGCCTCTTTCTAATCCAGGAATTATATCTAAAATGCTAAAATGGCATATTATTGGTTTCTTCAATACATCTAAAATATATTTTGATAACTCGAGTAGCTGCATTAATAATATCAGCAATGTGATTAATTTGGACTCTACTGCTTTCTTATTAGTTAACCAGCTAAATAAAATAATTTGATCTGATGAGATTCTGTCCAGCATTGCTAGAAACAAATTAATGTAAGCCAGCACAAGCTTGATAGATTTACTGAAAAGTAGGTTGAGAATAGAGATGATTGAGAGAGAGAGAGAGAGAGAGAGAGAGAGAGAGAGAGAGAGAGAGAGAGAGAGATTATTTTGTATACAGAGGGCACAACATTCTATTTTTTTAATTAAAAAAGCATAATTTAATATAATGGACTTATTTCTTTCTGCCCACTGTTTGTACAATTTGGTTGAACAGTTGTTATTTCTTTAATACCAGGAGTGAAAGGATGATGTTTGATTCTCAATAGCATCTCTTACTCCAGTGATGACTCTTAGGTGTTGTCATTCTGGAGGCTAAATGTCTATAATTTAGTCTTATAGAAGGCAAAGAAAATAAATGACTGCTTTTGGGGACATTGTTACTCTGTTCATCCTTGACATAGTGTCACCTGCCTTGATAGAAGTAGCTATTTTGGAAATATTTTGTAAGACCTGATTTACAAATCTGAGAAATGTATATAGAGGGGGAGTTATCAAGTCTGAGTTTTCAAGAGTGAAGAAAGAAACACATTTCAAGGCAGGGTGATGTAAAGAAACATATTTATATTTATTATTTATTCATTTATTTCTTTATTGGATTTGCAAGTCATTTGTTGTGCAACTAACAGCACAATGTAGCAGTTGGATCTACACAGTTTTCAGCTCCCACTGAATTACATGTGACACTGGATTGTAAGAAAGATGGAAGATTGCTATAATAGGAGCAAATAGGAAGAACAGCACATTGAAGCTCACAAAGCCTGTCTTTCCTGGGCCATGTGGGCTTTCCTTCCTACCTAAAAGATCACAATGATGTACCATTTGCTCTGTTGGCTTGTATTAAAAAAGAGCCTCAATTAAAGCTTAAACTCTTTCAAAATACCTGCTTGATGTTGAACCCCTTTCTCTGTCTCTCAACCTTCACATTTCTGAGTGAGGCATATGAATTTATTTTTATTGTTAATACCTTGTTTTCTTTCTTCCTTTCTCTTCCTCCTATTTTCAAGCTGCTTATAATCTCTTTGGGGTATACCTCTATCCTTGACCTATGTGAAGTCCCCTACATATTAATGATACTACATGGTGTACGTCAGCCTTTCCTAACCTACTGTTCACCAACTATGTTGAATTTCATTTCCCATAATTCCTAGTCAAAAAGGCTGATTTTGATAAGCAATGTTCTGATCAAAAGCCCACTTGCTGCAATGTATTTTTCAGTATTCGCTTTTTTGACAGCACCCCAATATATTACTCTTCTTTGACAATAACCAGAAGGTATATAGCTGTCTATGAAGCATGTTTACCAGAGATATAGTAGAGTACAGCTCTTTTACTTAGTCAAAATATTGATAAGATTGGAGACCAATCCCCTTACGCTTTTCAATACCGCATATATGCAATTCTTGCTCTGCAGTTTGAAATGGAAAAATCCTAGTTATAGTAAAATGAAAAACTTAATTACACAAAGAATGAACTTCACAGAAAAATAAGCTCAGTTCTCCAGTTATAGAATTTCTCTCTATAATTTTTTTAAGCAAAAACAAAACAAAAGTGGTACATAAATAAAATAAAAATAAATTAATATTAGCTGGGAAAGAAGTTTTTTAGGTTAGAATTGTGAAATATATTGATAATAGTAATAGTAGTTTCTCTGTTTCTTGGGTATTAATGCAGTTAATTTGAAAGTATAGATAAATATGTCTACTTGGTCTATTAATTTTTTATTTAATATTTGTAAATCTTTTTAAAACCCTTTTATCATTTATTATCCTTGGGTTTTTTGTGTGCCTTCAAGTCAGGCAAGATTTTTGGAAGTGGTTTGCTGTTGCCTTCTTCCTAAGGCTGAGAGAGAATGACTGAAACTTAAAATCTCTCCTGGTTTCTAGTGTGATGCCTACTAACCACCACACCAAAATGGTTCATTGGGGCGCTGCAAATTGTAAATAAAGTTGAAGGTACTCTTGCTTTTTAATTTGTAATTCTCTTGGCTGGTTTGTTTTGCCTTCCAGCAAACACTTAGAGGTCTACCCGCAGCCAAAGAAACAGCAATCCACCAAGGAAGAAGTCTCTTCTACATCAGGTTTTAAAAAATTCTTCACCACTCTGAGTCAGAGCACGAAACAAAAATTGGGCAGATTCCGATGTTATAGCATAGAACAGATTTCTATGCTAGAATCAGGAGCTGCCAAGCCCAACATGGAAACTGGTCCAGATACCATTTGTTCTCCGAAAATGAAGAAAGTATCTTCCTTACAATCCTTGCAGATGGTGAGTTGAAATTGTGTTTTTAATTCGGTTTTATAACAAACCTGGGTATTTTACAGCTTGTGTTGAAACTGTGTTTTTATTAGAGTGCGTGACAAACCTGGGTATTTACAGCCTGCAGGTACCATCTGGCCCATGAGTGACCCCAGTCCAGCCCAAGGCATGGATAATAATTGCAGAGTTTCCAGGGTGGGGGAATATTTTTCTTTAGTTGGCAAGTAAGAATGGAAGAACAAACAACTATTTGGTTGTTTGCCAGGTAACATTATGTAATTTGTTAGGATGTTCTAGTGGCATTGTATAATATAAAGCTGGTTTATTTGACCAAGATTAAAATAGATTACTAGTTGCTATTTCTGGAAATTTTAATGGATGTTTATTTTCTGGCCGGACTGGATAATGATGTTTTAAGGTTTTGTTTATAATTAAAAGTTACATGGGAAAAATTTTATTAGCTGTTATTGTAAATTTATCTGAGTAAGATTAAAACTGTTAGGTTATCTGGTACCTTTAGTGTATTCTAGATTTGAATGATGAGTTTGGAAGAATTGTTTTATTATAGAAAATGAGATATACCTTAAAACAGAGCTCCCCAACCTTTCTGGGTTGGCAGCCCGGAGGGAAAGGGAGGAGCAGGGAAATGTAGACGTATGTGTGTGCATGCATATGCGCCACACTTGCGCAAAATGGGCATGCACATGGTGGCGGCACTAGTGCCCGCACGCATGTGCAAGTGGGTCACGCACACCCAAGGCTGGACATGCTGGTGGTGGGGCTGGTGCCTGCACGCCTATGCAAATGGGCCACTAGTGTCCGTGCATATGCGCAAATGGGCCCACTAGCCCGTGTCACGGCACTAGCGCAAGTGGGGAGGGTGTGTGCACATGTGCGCGCACTTGCCAGCCATTCCCGCAGCCTAGTGGCCAACAGGCCATGGAGCAGGTTGGGAACCCCTGCCTTAAAAGGAAGAAATTCAAGAGGGTTTATTAGATCAAGTTTATAATAGATAGGCTATTATTTTTGTTAATAGACATTTGCTGATTAGGATGGATGATGAGGTTATAAAGATTTGATATTAAGAATGAGGTGAAGACATTGTTCTATTTTAACAGATAAGTTGCTAAAATTGTTTGTACATGCTGGGACAAAGGGGGAAGTTATTTTTATTTCTCATTTTAGTCTTTTTTCCCTTCTTCGCAGTTTTTATTTTTTATGCATTGTGTTAGCTTTTTCTGCGTAATGTAATCTTTGAGACAATTATTATAAAATAGGAAAAAACCACTGAGTTTTTTAAATATCTACTAGTTATCAAAAGTAAAAATTTCATAAGTCCGTATGCATGGTATTTAATTATGTGATTATGTTGTGGCAATACAATACTCTTGAAACATTAGAATTTAGGTCTTTGAAACAATCCAGTAGCACTGCTCCCCTTTTTTGTTTTTGTTTTTATTTCTTTTGGTTTTCAGAAGGATTAAGCTTGCAGTCAGAAAACTTTATTCCTTTTTGTCCAATATATCTGCAGTTTGATTCTTTAATACTCATTTTGATTTTCAGTATTTCCTCCCACTAGGTGTCACCTTTTAGCCAACCAAGAAAAGCCTCTTCTGTTCAAAATCTGCATTCCTTTTTGGGCAAGAATAATCGGTCCAATGTCTACCTGGTGGGGGAACCTAAGGATGAAGAAGTTTCTTCTAACAGGTGAGAATTGTGATACTTTAGGTGACTGTTGTGACATATCCTAAATGGCTCTTTTTATGTGTTGGATGGTGGATAATCACGTAATCTGTTTTTAGACACTGATTGCAGCAACTTATCTCTGTCTGTAGACCCTGTAGTAGGACCTTCACATATTCAGTTCACAGTATCCTGAAGAGTGGCTAGCTTTTCTGTAGTAGACATGAATCGAGATCCAATCCTGTCCCTCACTGCTGTTACTCAGGAGAAATGCAGAGTTTTTAAATACATCCATACTGAAGTTAGACCGCTCTGGTCGCATCATTCTGTTTTCTCTCCATGTTTCTATTGTATGTGATTTGTCATCAAGGCAGCTTCATCTTGTTTTCATTTTAGTATGCAGAACTAATCCATACATGGACATTTGTATTTTCCAGGTTCAGCTATAATGCTAATCTACTGCCTAGTGTTCTATGCACAGAATATGGGCTTAATTTCTGATACAGATGTAAATAGGTTATGGACGTTGTTGTTTAGTTTCAAGTTCAAGTTCACATTTAGCGTGACATCTATTTAATAGTAACTTTGTGAATTCAAAGTGAACCTTGAATTATTAATACTAATTTTGATTTATAGGGAATTATCTGTTTTCATAAACAGAGTGGAATTGCTTTATTTTGCTCTATCATAATTATAGCAACCACATCAGACATTGTGATTGCTTCATGATACCTTCCTGGGAAGAAGAAAACTTATAATGCTACATAATTCAATGTGAACATACAGCATGTTTGAACAAATCCATACAAATGTGTCTGAAAAAGTGTGTTTTAATATATATTTTCTCATTCTTGAAATACATATCAGAGTATTTGAGAATGTGAAGTTTGGTGGCTAAATAGTCTGATTTGCTTGCTATTCATGGTTATGCAACTGAAATCAAATTATATTGGGAATTCAAAAAGATGGACTTTCCGACATCCCTAAGAAGAACGCACAATTGCTAGAATAACATACATATTTTGCTTTTTACAATCAAATGCTTCTAGAATTGACTTCAAGCAATTTAAAAAAAAAAAGCCCTGATATAGGTGGATGATGTGGTCAGAATTTTAAATGTAGGATAGCAAAAAGTATATTTGCAGAATTGAAAAGTTACTAATGAATAATGCTGTAAACATAGCATATTTCCTTTGTAGAAATTTTCCTTGTGCACATGGGACATGCGTAAACTTGGTCTCCAAGGCCAAGCAAGATAGTTTCCAAACTACCTTATGCTGTGTCAGCTTCACTTTTTCAGAGTTCCCATCATCATCATGTGAGCTGTAAATCTGCTTTCATTTAAAACCAAGATGTTATAATGAAGTTAGATTAGACCAGGGGTAGGCAACCTGGGCTCTTTTATGACTCGTGGACTTCAACTCCCAGAATTCCTAAGCCAGCCATGCTGGCTCAGGAATTCTGGGAGTTGAAGTCCACGAGTCATAAAAGAGCCCAGGTTGCCTACCCCTGGATTAGACGATAAGTGAAACAACCACCACCCTGTTCTTTGACTTCAGATTATATATTTGTCTGAGTATGATAATATTTTCCCCATTCTTAGGAAAACAAGGATTCCACATAGAAGATCCCTCAGTGTGGAGGACATTGGGCCCCCTAACTTGGCGAGAACTGTCGGCCGGGTGGTAGCTGTTTTTCCAGATGGAACTAGTCAATTAGAATTGCAGCGGTCCCAACAAGGCAACTTTGGGTTTCGTGTTTCCTCAGGGAATGGTCGTCCTGATACAGGTAGGAGTTTGGTAACCAATGGCCTGAAACTTTGAACAGGTAGACCCCCTGGCTTGCTTTTTAAAATTATGGTGTTGGAGTATCTCTTTAGTTTTTTAAATTGTGCACTTTTTTTCCTTTGCTGGGGTGGAGAAGGATGCTGGCTTACATTTGTTTTATTTGACAATTTGTACCCTTAATCTTTCAACTGAGAAACAAAAACAGACTTAACATTACGAACTTAAAAACTAGCTTTATATATTTTTAGTATAAAGAATCCAGGAATAGTCAAAATATTTTGTCTTTATCCACTGTAGCTTTCCAGATAAAGGAAAGGAAGCAGGATATGTAATATTTCCATCTATATTAGGCCTTCAGCTGGTTTGGGTTGATAGAAGGGAACTCTTATTCTTCCACATTAGTATTTATTGTCCTTGTTATTTTGATGATCTACAGTCAATTAGGAATGAAATTTTAATTGCAGGTCACACACAATACTTCATTCCCGAAAACACATTGTATCTTAACTGTATCATAAAAGCATATTAGCACAATATTGCTATGTATATTTACATACATTAAATATTCATTCTTCCTTTTTTATTTTTTTAAAGTTTTAAAGTTATTTTTATTTTATTTTTTTATTATTTTTAAAATTATATAAAAAAATAGTAGGGCACGATTTTGTCCAATTATACAAATAGGAAGTGCAACTCATGCAGGAAAGGTTCATGTGGAGGTACTACAAGAGATAAAAGAAAGTTTGGGAATAGATACCGTAGATTTATCAGGCATTATCTATTCCTATTTTAGAATCCCTTACTGTAAAAGATAAAGCAATGGTATTACACCCATGCACGCATGCAAATCAAAGTCATGATTTGAGAGAATGGAATGCCTATGGTGGGCACGGGATGCAACAGAGAAACTGTAGGACTGTAATAATATCACAAAACGTTCTTTGTACATACCTTGACAGGTTCAGAAATGCTGTGATTCCTAAATCATAAATGCCAGTGTGTGTATGAGAGTGCATTCTTGGAATTATATAACCTTCCTGAAATTCTTCTGCATGACTTTTATTCCTCTTCTCTTGCATATTCTCATGACATTTGTGAACATGCCATGACCCCGCAGAGTAAGAATTGCCTATTTCTCTTTATCAGAATGTCTATCACTTGCTAAATATAGGACTTTGAAATAGGAATTCTACAAGCCAAAGAACCAGTCTACAAGGACTGTCAATAATCTCTGGAAGCTCAGTTGCTAAAGCAGGTCTTATATATATTATTCCCTGCTCCCTATAACATCTTCCAGAGGGAGATTTGCTCAGTATTCTGAGCAGCAAAAAGACCCTCCTCCTTGACTTTTTTTTTCTTTCTGCCTTGTCTTCTTCATTTTCATATTACAGATAGAAAAACAGGAAGGGGCATTCCTCAGAGGCATTCTTTTTTTTTTTTTATTGAAATTTTTCAAAAGTTTTACAAATAAAAATCCACCCCCCCCTCCCCAACCACCCCACCCCCCCCCCGACTTCCCAGAACTGAATATAGGATTATTTAACAAATATTTTAAAAATAACATTTGCAATTTATAAAATAATTAATAATAATAATAAAAATCACAGTAATAATATATATAATAATAATATACATAACATAAACTTTAAAATGAATAATATATACTAAAAAAGAAAAAAAAAATAAAAAGAGAAGAGAGAGAGAGAAAGAAGAAAGAAGAAAGTAGACGAAGAATAAAGCATATATATATATATAAAAAAAAATATATATGAATAATAATACATAAAAAATGTATATATATAAAAAAGAAAAAGAAGAAAGAAAGAAAGAAAAAACAATCATTACAAATTATAAAAAGGCTAAATAATATTTTTCCATATCCAAATTATGTTGTATAAAATTTATCCATTTTTCCCATACCGCAAAAAATTTTTCTTGAGATTGCTCCTTTAAGAAAGCCGAAATCTTTGCCATTTCTGCCAAATACGAAACTTTATGAAACCATTCTTGTAAAGTAGGCAAAGATTCCTTCTTCCAATATTGTCCTATTAACAACCTAGCGGCTGTAATCAAATTTAACATCAATATAACCTCCTTAGCATCACAGTCAATAACAATACCTAGTAAAAATAATTGCGGAGTAAATTTTACCCTCCTTTTAAAAATTCTTTGAATATTCCACCATATCTTAATCCAAAAAGCTTTTATATGCTTACACGTCCACCAAATATGGTAATAGGTAGCATCCAAATATCCACATCTCCAGCATTTCGGCTGTAGATTAGGGTACATAATGGACATTTTCTTTGGGTCAAGGTGCCATCTATAAAACATCTTATAAAAATTCTCTCTTAAATTTTGCGCTTGTGTGAATTTAACATTTCTTATCCAAATAAGTTCCCAAGTATCCATTGAAATCGTTTCACCAATATTCTGTGCCCATTTAATCATACAATCTTTAACTAGTTCAAGTTCTGAATCTAATTCCACTAAAACCCCATAAACTCTCTTAATATGGGTTGGCCTTTGATCTCTTACTTGTTTTAAAAAAATTTCATCTTCTCTAAGCCAGCCCATTTTACAATCCATCTTCCATCTATCCACTATTTGTCTATATTGGAACCATGAATAAGTTAAGTTTTCATGTGTTAATTCTTCCAAAGATTTTAACTGCCAGTCTTGGCCATCCCATCTTAATAACTGTACGTAAGAGACCTTGTCCATATTTACCCCTTTCCTTATACCTTCTATGGCATGCCGAGGTATAGCCCATAATGGTATTTTGAAGTCACTTTTATAATACTTTCTCCACACTCTTAGCAAAGAGTTTCTTATAATATGAGACTTAAAAACCCAATCCACTTTTTTATTAAATATTAAATAGGCATGCCATCCAAAAAATAGGTCCCAGCCTTCCAAATGAAGTATTTCTGTATTTGTTAAATTCACCCAGTCGCTAATCAATGTCAATACTACAGCATCATAATACAATTTCATATTTGGTACCTTGAGTCCACCTCTCTCACGAAAATCTTGCATTATTTTAAGTTTCACCCTTGGTTTTTTCCCTGCCCAAACAAATTTATTAATACCTTTTTGCCATTCATCTAAATTACGTTCATTCTTTAAGATAGGTAACATTTGAAACAAAAAAATAAACTTTGGCAGGACATTCATTTTAATAACTGCAATTCTGCCCATAAGGGATAACTGTAAATTATTCCAGTTTTTTAAATCCTTCTGTACCTCCATCCACAGCTTTTCATAATTATTTTTATACAATTTTACATTAGAAGCAGATAATGTAACCCCCAAATATTTTACCTTATCAACAATTTCAAAGTCTGTTAAGTTAACTAGAGCCTGTTTATCACCATTAGTCATGTTTTTAGCTAATATTTTGGTCTTATTATTATTAATTTTAAAGCCAGAAACACGTCCATATTGTTGAATCAATTGTAATAATTTCACCACCGAAGAAACAGGTTGAGACAAAGTAACAACCAAGTCATCTGCAAAGGCTCTTAATTTATATTCTTTTTTATTAATTTCTATTCCTTTTATTTCTTGAGACTCCCGAATTTTAATCAACAAAATTTCCAGTGTTAAAACAAACAATAACGGAGACAACGGGCATCCCTGTCTTGTTCCTTTTTCTATTACAAAAGCCTCTGACAAACCCCCATTTACAATAATTTGAGCAGTCTGTTTTTGATATATATTGGATAATACTTGTAATATATTTTGTCCAAAATTCATCTCCTTGATTAAACACAGCATAAACTGCCAATTCACTTGATCAAAGGCTTTTTCAGCATCCAAAAATATCAGGCCTGCAGAGACTTGGTTATTCTTTTCTAAATACTCTAATAAATTAATAATTTGTCTAACGTTATTCTTCATATACCTTCCAGTTATAAAACCCGATTGATCCCTATGTATAAACTGCTGCAAGATCCCCATAAGCCTGTTAGCTAAAATTTTTGCAAAAATTTTATAATCCACATTTAAAAGAGATATAGGCCTATAATTTTTAGGCAAAGTAAGATCTTGACTATCTTTTGGAATCAATGATATAAATGCATTACGCCAGGATGGAGGGATCTCTAACCCCTGTAATAAATTATTAAACAGTTCACACAACGGTTGAGTCATCTCTTCTACTAAAGCTTTATAATAAATAGATGTCAACCCATCCGTACCCGGCGCTTTGCCCAATTTCAATTGTTTAATAGCTGTAACAATTTCTTCCTTAGTAATTAAACCGTTAATCTTTTTTTCCTGATCTTCTGTTAATTTAGGAAAGTTAACTTTGCCTAAATAATTATTTATATCTGTAATTTGAATATTAGTACCCTTATATAATTTTTGATAGTATTCTAAAAAAGATTTCTTAATCAATTCTTTCTGATAAACCAATTTACCATTATAATTTATTTTATCTATATTCCTCTGTTTCTGTTTTTTTCTTAACTGATAAGCCAACCATCTCCCTGGTTTATTAGCATTACAAAATGTATTTTGTTTCATAAATAGCAAATTAGTTGCAGCTTGATCAGCCATCAGCATGTTAAATTGTGTTTTTAACAATTTTAAAGCTCCTTTAACCTTTTCATCTAAGGGATTTGAAATTAAAAGTTTCTCTTTTAATTTAATCTCCTCTTCCAAGTCTTTCCGTTTCTGAGTCTGTTTCTGTCTATGCAAATTATTCATTTTTATCAAAATACCACGCATAAAAGCTTTACTTGCATCCCAGACCATTGACATTGATGTTCCCTTGTTCATATTTAAAGTAAAATATTCCTTTAAACATTCCTTTAATTTATGAACATTTTTTTCTTGTTTAAATAAATTCTCATTCACCCTCCAGGATCTCCTATCTTCCTTCTCTACAAACAGTTCCATCCAAACTGGACTATGATCGGACAATGTCCTAGGAAAAATTTTTACATTCTTCACCCTGTTGTATAAATCTGTTGTGATCAAAAAGAAATCAATTCT